TGTTTGGATTATTCCTACTACTAGGACTCCCCTTTTCGTGATTATGACGAGACTTTGCCATGCAAAGAATGTTTAAAGCAACTGCATTTGAGATGATTGTTTTGTATCTTCCATTAGTTTTGTATTTTGTTTTTATGCTGATTATCATTATGAATTGCTTTCTTAAAGTCATTATTTTCTTTATTGTATGGATTTTTGGGCTCAATGATCACAGGAACTTGTGGACCATTCTGTATAAGTGGCTTTTAATATTATGCTTGCATTGTGAATTCCAATTGCCACTTTATGCTCTTTACGCATCACCAAAGGGTTGAAAGAAGGGCATTGATATACCACTAGTTTTTTATGTTATTGGATGAATAAGGGATGGTGAATTGAAAATGAGTCATCACTACTTATATGGAATCATTGCATGACTTTTGCGATGGCCATGATAGAATTGTCATTCCATCTATAACATATAGCAGCATGTCTATCATCTTAATCTTCAGCTTTCGTGGATCTGCAATCCAGACCAAAATGTTGTTGCTAACATCTCTCCTTGTGATTGCAGGAAGTGATTCCTTAAAGTCTGGCAACACACACCTTGTGTCTGTGAAGAAACAATCCATAAAGAATCTTGGAGAAAGCAGCAATGGTATTGCAGGGTCCAGCCAAGAAGCTGCGTGGGTAAAATCCATGTATGCAGAAAAGTCTCCTCAAGTGGAAAAGGCTGCTAATATACCTACTAAATTTGATCCCACCCAGAGTGGTATACACTCACTGAACTCAGATTTACAAAGGAGTGCTCGAAAAGAACCTGTTTTTGATGAATTGGAGAGCGTTGTGAGAATCAAACAGGCAGAGGCCAAAATGTTCCAAGCACGTGCTGATGATGCACGAAGAGAAGCTGAAGGTTTAAAGCGCATTGCAACTGCTAAAAATGAAAAAATTGAAGAGGAATATATGAGTCGAATCACAAAATTGCGTTTGTCTGAGGCTGAGGAACTGCGCAAGCAAAAATTTGAGGAGCTCCAGGCTATAGAAAGAGCTCATCAGGAATACTTGAAGATGAAGACAAGGATGGAAGCAGATATTAAAGACATGATGTTGAAAATGGAAGCTACAAGAAGGAATCTTTCTATGTGATTAAGCAGCAGGTTCTTTCTTCAGTGCCCTCAGCACCTCTGGTAATCTTACCTTTTGACCCTCGTGCCTATTGTATCTCGTGTTGTAAGAATAGACTCCACTTTGTGTTCTCTTATTTGTAGATGTATCTTCCAATGTAGTGCCCTTTTTATTTTTGTGCTGCTAACCTTAATCTGTACAGGGACTTCTCCATCTCTTTATTGACAGAAGTTTCCAGTTATAGACATCAGTCTAGACTCAGTTAGGAAGGCCATAGGTCCAATATGCTTTGGGGGTGATTGTTGGCATCCAGTTTCGTATAGAAACTTGGCAGTGGTCTTTGATGGATAAACAAACTTTTAGTTTTTATTGGGCATAAATTGATATGTAGTTATTTATTATTTGTGAGGAACTCTGATGAATCTACCTAATGGAGGACAATATTCAAAAATTTTGCACCAAAATGAGTTTACGATAGTTTTTACTCTTCTTTTTGGTGGGTTTTTGTGTTTGGGGTGGGAGAGATAAGAGGGGGGGGGGGATTGAATATGAAGATATTTTCATTGTGTAATATGTAAAAAGAATGTCTGTTCATTTCTTTGCTTGACTGCATTATGTTTAATCAAGCCAACAGAGTTCATAGGAGATGCTGGCGTATAATTGGGAAGAGAAATCTAATTGGTTGCAGGTGAATTTTCCATGGTGATAGCATTTGAAGTTTGGTGAGTCAATTGATCTGGTACAGACAAACTTGCAAATATGATCCTTGGGTACTTGTATGTGCTAATCATATATCAAGGGTCAGGAAGATGTGATTATTGTTTTACCAGATCATGGAAGTTTGAGGCAAATTGTACACTTCCTTAAGGAGTTTATTATTTTACGAAATCATGCAAGTTTTGAGGAAAATGGAAGAAAAAGTGTATGCTTCATCAAAGAGTAATAGGACTAACTTTGAATTTGGCCAGAAAATGCCACACTGATCACTGAGCTTTTGAGGACCGTTGGCATGAAATCTTTACTTGGAATAGGCAGCAAGGAGGAGATACTAAGCAATAGAGGGATGCAGGGGAAGGGGTGGTTCTTCGTATATAGTTATGAGAGAGAGAGGTCTTTATTTTCCTGTCACTTGTCTAGTTGAAGTATTCTTGGGATTGAAATTGAGATGCCTTTAAATATTTTTTTTCTCTATTTTTCTTCTTGGCAGTTCATTCACCATTAACAACTGAGGGATATACTTAGACTCATTGATTGAAAAATATAGGGCCAATACATCTAGCTGTTCATGACTGTCGGCATGAAATCTTTAGTTGGAATAGGCAGCAAGGAGGAGATACTGAGCAATGAGAAGGATGTAAGGGAAGAGGTGGTTCCTCCTATACTTACGAGAATGCTGAAAGAGAAAGAAATGTCTTTATTTTCGAGTCACATCTCTGTTGTAAGTACTCTAGGCATTGTGATCTCTTTCAATACTTATTTTCTCTATTTTTCTTCTTGGCGGGTTTATTCGCCCTTAATCATTTGGATTTAATGATGTCTTGTATGAAGAAGAAAAATGGAAACAAAAATATATCGGAGTAGATTTCATTCCGTATTTTTGTACACACCCTCTGTAGATAAGTTTAACTTAAGTGACAATTTTTTTCCGATTTTGAAATTTCACTGTTACAATTTTTTAGAATTTGTCTACTAACAGACCTAATGAGAAAACTTATTTTACCACCTTCCTTTCAAGTTCTACACTATTTTACATATTAAGTGTCTTTAATTTATAGACATATACATATACATACATACCAAAATCCCTTTGGTATGAATATGATTAAATTAAATATTAATTGGATTAAACATAATATTAATTTGATGAAATTGAATACCAATTTAGTGTTAATTTAATAAATAATATTAGTTTGATAAAACAAAATATTAAATTTATAAAATTGAATGTTAATTTGATATAATTGAAAGTTAATTTGGTGTTAAATTGGAGAAATGAAATTTATTTAGTAAAATTAAATGTTCAATTCATAAAATTTAAAAAATGATGTTAATTTCATAACTTGATTGTTAAATTGATGCAATTAAATGCAAATATGACAGAATTAAATTTTAATTTGATGTTAATTAAATAAAATTAAAATTTTAATTTGATAAAATTTGGTATTAATTTGATAAAATAGAATATCGATTTGATGAGATTAAATGTTAATTTGCTAAAATAATTTATAAAATTTAAGATCAATTTCATGTTAATTTGATGAAATTTAGTGTTGATTTAATAAAATTGACGATGATTAAATTGAATATTAATTTGTTGGCAATTTGATGAAGTTTAATGTGATTTTGATAAAATTAAATATTAATTTGATGAAATTAAATATTAACAAGATAGATAGTTTAGTGGTGTGTGTAAAATAGGTAGGAAGGAGGGAGGATGTGCTGCAAACAGCAGTGGTGTGTGTAAATGGAGGCAGATATGGGATGGGATGGTCGTGAGGGAGTTGGGGGTAAAATTGACATTTTTGAAGAAAATGACGATGACATCACTCTTTTTTTTAAATTGTCAGTAATGGTTTGTCATGGCAATGGGTGGGGTTGGGTGTACTTGAAGTGGATATAAATAAAAACCAGAAAAGAGTGTGTAAGAAATTTCAGAATTGGGACAGAGTGTGGGGGCAGAAATTAAGCTTATCTACAAGGGGGGTGTAGATGAAATTTATCCAATATCTTATCTATGAGACTTAAAGGTGTTACTCTCTTATCTTTCATTGTAAAAAAATTATTTATTATATTATCAATGAATCGAGTTCCATGGTAACAAGTCGATTGACAATTCTTAGGCTTCGTTTCAAAGCTATTTTTCTCTCAATCACCAAAGCTACTGTTCAAAACTGTTCCATGAATTATAATGTGATTTCTTGCATTTAAGTGGGTCCATCATCAATACACGGGAGCTATCCATCATCGAGTAGAATTGACAGAAAAATGTATTGGAGAAGATTCAAACGAGATTTTATCCTATTACTTACAAAAATTACCCCATAATCACTGGGGGCCGTATGGTAGGCTAAAGTCCCTTCCTCAGAGAGTACTGAGACTGAATTTTGAGTTTCACCAGAGAATTTTATGCTATTGTTGGATTTTGAGGCTTACTATGTACAAGTATTCTTATTCCCTTTTTGGACAAACTTGAATGCAGTTCATAGTGCTAAAGACGATTAATGAATAAGATGAAGTCCAGAAACGCAATTCAGTTAACTCAATAACAAAAGGTGAGAGATTCTGGTAGCTATGCCAGCAGACTATTTACAGCTTCTCAAGAACGAATTCATTGATGACTGCCAAGCAGTGGAGGAAATTGGAAGCCGGTTTTCCTCTTTGCCTTCGATCTGTTCATTCTTGCAACATGAAATGGATCGCCTTCGTTTGGTTTTCCTCTTCGATTTCATTTGCTACCTTAGATTATTGGCAGAGTGATGCCTAGTGCATCTAATCGAAGAAGAGGGTGGAGCACAAAACCAAAAACACAACAGAAGTCTATTTTGTAGATATGGAAAGCTGAGTGAAATTTGTTTTGCTTATACAGTTAAGTCTATGCAAATTATCTGTTAAATCACTGCAAGGATCATTTCCATTTCTATGAAAATACTAAATCACTGCAGGCTTAAACAGAGCTGTTATGTATAGTAGCAATCATACAAATAAGGTGTAAATTAGTAATCCTTTTTTTTAATACAATCACTGCATTCGCAACACTTGTGTCTATGCCTTGATATGAAATGAAGTACAGGAAATGAGTTCTAATTCCCGTTTCTCACTAATTTTAGTGATCTAGCCTGAACCAAGAAAAGACCGAATCTTCATCTTCATTGAATTCAGAATCATCAGTGGCTTTATCGGCTCTCGGAATCACTTAGAACATACCTTGCCTTTCCACGGTTCACCCTCTGTGGTCTAGCTCTTGGAGCCACAGCTTCATTCATCTCTTCAGCACTGTCTGAATTAGAAGCTGAGCTCCCTTGTTGTTTTTCACTTTCCAGTGCAATCCTTTCCTCAGCTTCTTTACCAATCCTTCCCAACATGGAACCACTTTTCTTGTTGAATGGAGATGCTCTCATCTTCGTCACCTTTTTCTGAGGTGAGGTGCCTGAATTCTTCTCTGCAAGCTTCAAAGACTTCCGTTATCAGTTTCTGTCCCGTTAACTGAGATTGCTTACTAGCAGGCCCTCTTTTCTTTGTTGCTGCAGTGGGTTTGGCTGCCTTCGCATTCTGTCACTTTTCTTCCTCCCTTCTTTTGCTCTTCTGGTGCGGTCACCACTTCTAGTTCAAAATCTTCATCACTGATGTCATTGTCGTCCGAAATCTCTGTGAGGGTTGACAAAGGCTTATTCTGTGCAGCAGCCCTTCTGCTGATTTCTTTCTTCCTGTCCTGCACTTGAGGCACTTCGGTTTCCATGGCTATAGAGGAATAAATTAAAAGTTAAAGAACACAAACAATGACTCCCTTTCCTTCTATAATGTAATATTCCACAATATTCACAAACATCTGAAAAGAAAAGTCCAATTACTATCTTTAAGGATAATTTTTGAAGTTCCTCCAATGGACTCCTAAATTCCAACTTCCAAATTACTCAAAGGAATACAGTTACTGAATTTGATATAATTGGAATACCGTAACAGAGAACACAGAAATTAACCGCAAATGGCAGCAGATAAGGCTTTACCTTCTGAGTGATCAGGGGAAGAGTGGAGGTTGTAAGCAGCAAGTCGTTCTTTTAGCTCAAGTATTTCATCATCGTCATCTTCAGGAACCACCAAAGAAGATTTTCCCTGTTGAAGTAAATTTACAGTTGTCAAAGAAAAACTTAATGTGAGAGAAAATGAAATCGATGAAGAAATCTAGCAATTAAGACCTTTTTAACAGGAGCTTTCTTTGAACCTGGTTTGCCTTTATGTTTCACCACCTCAGGAACAATATCTGATGAAAAACCAGCAATTGACAAAGCCCAGAGCAAAAACAAAAACTTGCACTAATAGAACAATATGGGAACCGGACTTACCAGTTTCGATTACAGATGTAGCTGATGTTTTTGATGGTTCAGAAATGGATTCTGGATGGCTACACTTCTTAGTATTCTTCCGTGGATTTTTTGGTGCTTGTTTTGAAGCTTTAAGACCAGCTTCAGTCATCACCTTGCTTTTCATTGCCTTTCTAGCCACCTCTGCCTGGACATCACTCTTATCTTGCTCCTGAATCATATGCACACAAATTCAGAACGATACCAGCATGACTCAAAAGCATTAATAAAAGCCAAGCATTGAATTCATACATCAAGCTCTCTTTCAAGAGCATCAAGATCTTTCGTCCACATAGATTTTGGAGTTGCCTTTTTCAAATCATCAACCTCTTCGTTGAGCTTATCTCTATCAGCACATAGCTCCTGAACCTTCTCAAGTGTCAAGGTCCCAATTGCCATTGACAACAAGTACTCATAATCACTCGCGTGTACACCTTTGCTGGTTACTGTCTCAGAATTCTCCTTAAGTTCTTCTACATCATCAGTTGCCCCAGCAACCACACCTTGCACAGTTTTGGTTTTTTGGGGGAAAGGAGTGAAACCTTTTTCCTTCAATTCAACAAACAAATCTGCTCTCTTCCTGTCGCTCACAATGATCTTGCCTTCCAAAACCCCCAGAATAAACCTAACCTTGTTGTCAAGTTTCAACAGCTCCATTTCGAGATTGTCCTGCAGAACTTTCTGCATATTGTTAAAATACAGTTGGTGGTCATGTCTTACAATGAAATAATCAAGAAATCAGAACATCTGCAATCTAATATTTCTGTTTGACCAACTTGCCTTTCTTTCCTCATAAAACTCCAGCCTTATATGAAAGAATTCGTCAAGAACTGCCAAAAAGGAATTGATGGAAATTATAGCAAAATTTTCCTAAATCATGGATTAATATGAAAATTTTTCAAAATCAGCACATACTTTGTTCAGGCGTGTCAAATTTCTTTATTACACCTTCTGAGTCGAAGAGGTGCATATTACTTGTGCTTATAGTAGTGGTTAGCTTGAATTTCTTCAGCAACCCCTCTTGCTTGGCCAAGATCAAGTTCTCCTCAAACAATATAACTTCGAAATGTACAGTATTTTCATCATTATGCTCCCTATAGTCCTGCAAAAATGTATACTCAGCTATGAGAACTTGAATTCTTCAATATATTCAAGATAATATTAACATCAATTATGAAGAAACTAAATTACCGATGGAAAATTATGAAGATATCCAATTTACCTTGATAAATGGATCCTTTATCTTATCATTCCCGGTCATGATTGATTCCAGAAATTCCTTGTAATCTTGAGTCCACTTGCGGATTGGTAGCTCTGTAATCCTGAGTGTAGTTTCATTGACTTCCTCTATAACTCCACAGATAGTGTAACTAACCCCGCCTTCTTTTGCTGATGGTTTCTCAATGTGTCCTCTGAATCCTTTGTACCATGGATCCATAGGCTCCATTGGCTAATCATTTAACAAACGCCTCACATTAGCAACTATTTCCCTTGGGTTATAATTTGGGATGTATGAACTCCCATCCTGTCCCTATTCCTTCACTTCCATTGACTAGGACCATTGGTATAATTGGCATATACTTGATACAGTAAATGAATCAGCGTTACTGTCAGAATTTTGTTCGAGATTTACCTGATTATGCTGCGTAAGTAGTAAATCTTACCAAGTAGGTTCAATAGATTGCCCGTCCTCATTCAGGTAGTCAAGAAGGATGTCATCGTCCTAGGGAAACAGGAATTGGGGGATAGGTGAGAGCCGAGTGTATACATACCTAGCACTTGCATTATCTTTACCTCCCTGAATAAAAGTTTCATACATTTCATGACAAACTATGAAAGTGCAAGTATAATGAATGAAGAAAAATGTAACCTTTTATTCCTCACACCTGGTGACGGGTGCCAAATTGACCATTTGGTTGAAGAAGGTTTATGTGGTTGCTGCCAACAAAATCTTGAGCCATGCCAATAATGGTACTGGCAAGACTCTGCTCACCATGATGGTAAGCCGAGTGCTCAGACACATAACCGGAGAACTGGGCAACTTTTGCTTCTTTCACAAAGTTCCTCTTGAAAGAACAGAAAAGAATTTTTCTTTGACCTGGTTTCAGTCCATCAACCATTGACGGAATTGACCTCTGAAGATCTGCCATTGAAAACAGTATAAGCTCCTTGTTGACAAAGTCACTGTACTTAATTAGCTTCTCCTTCTGATCAAGGTAAGTACCAGGCTGAAAAACATGAGGAAAGAATTATTAGATACGTTACCCTCTTCAACTTAAAAACTCTGAAAAAAATTGCACAAATGTCAACCTCAAACTTTCTAAGCCAACTCTTCCTTGCTTCAATCTTCTTCTTACTAAAGGCAAGCTGAATTGCATCACCATCTTGCTCATCAACCCAGACAAAATCTTTTTTGTGCTTTCCAAGATCATTGAAGTATTCCTTTCCTTCTTTTGATGTGCTTGTTCCCAACCCCTGCCAGGCAGCAAAATGATTATAACAGTCAAGTCTGATGTACCCCGACTACTCTAATTGGTTCACAGCACATAAATTGATTAAACAAACCTTATACTATTTAATAGACCAACCATTTGCATTGCCCCCTAGGCTTTCTTTCCATGATTCATACTCAGGCATGGAATAGAAGGATAATATGTTTCCATTTCTGTGAGTAGCCTGTACAACCATGAATCGAAAATTTTAAAATTTCCTTGACAGATTTCTTCCAATAAGATTACCATTCACCAAGGCTGGACTCAATCTTGAACTAAAACAAATCTTCACGATTAGCGTAATGAACTCCACTAAGAAAGATGGAACTTTCAGCAATGATGGCCAGAAAGAATGAATGAAATTAATCAATAATCCTTTGATGTGAGAGCCATCGTGATCCTGCACAGGTAATAAGACCTTTGTCAAAAACTTCTTCTGCCTACCAAGTAATTAGTAAGAAACACAAATCTATCCAAGGGTGGAAGAAAATGAAAGCAAATAACCTGATCAGTCATTATCATCAAGGGACCATATCTCAATGACTTGACACTGTCATACTCTTTTCCATGCTGGAGTCCAAGAATCTGTTTGACGTTTTGAATTTCTGCATTCTCCATGATCTGTTTATGGTTTGCTTCCCAGACATTCAGCAATTTACCTCTCAAAGGAAATACACCATAATAGTTTTGACCCATGACAGAAATTCCAGCCATCTGCATAAATTTAACTTAATTTTCATCCAAATACAGACCCCACAGGTAACTAGTTGAGTGAAAAGCATTGATGAGATACCGCAAAAGCCTTGGCCGAATCTCCTTCTGTCAGGATCAAAGTACATTTATCAGAATTTTTCCCTCCAGCATCATTTGCATCTTCTAGCTTAGTAATTCCAGTGATCCTCTGCCTCTTTGTTCCATCAGTTTTCTTAAGGTCCTTGCACTGCTTAAAGTCTGCCCATGAGAGCAGATTTTCCACCACACCAGACTTGGCCACTGCAACAATAATTAACCAACAATAATCACTTTTTGATCTCATACAAGGCATAAATTAATGCGTTCTTGGATAAATAATAAGCTGATAACAGCAAGAATGAAACCTTTTTTCAGAAATTCTTGCAAGAGTTCACATTTAGAACCGAACCTGCTCTGACGAAGTGTCAAAGTCTTCTTGGTTTGAGAATCAAAAGCTGGGTTGTCAGTAAGAGCATTGACAAATACCCATAAATAGTTCTTCACTGTATGGGCTTTAAGGTTGGCATTTTTGTTCTTCTTATTTACGATAGTCATAACATGATTCGTTATCTGATTAATAATGTAATCAACATGAATCCCGCCCTTGATTGTTGCAATTCCATTTACAAAGCTGACCTGGAACAACCAATAACCAATTGTAATAAAACATGCAGATTTTAGAACTAGATAATATTCGGCTAGTCCTTATTTGCTCCACAAATATTGAGATTCAGTTTTGATTCCAGTACCTGTTGAAACTGTCCTTCACTTAGACTAACGCAGATCTCCCATCTGTCATTAACTTTTTCCACAATCCTATATATTATTGATTCTGATTAGCAACCCTTATTAAAGCTAAAATAAAAATGAAGCATCAATAAAAAAATTCATAGAGGGAACCTTGGGAGGGAATCTGGTCTGTTCTTGGAGACAGATTGTAAATAAAGATTGACATAGTCAAGGAAAGATTTCACAGGAACACGTTGGCCATTTAATTCAACCTTCACTGTCTTTCCAAAGGCACTCTGCTAAGTCAATCACCCGCTTTTTCATCAAGGCGACAACATCATTTTCTAGATGATGTCATGTTGAATTTCGCCAAGTCAGGCCTAAATGAAACCTTCGTCCAGTTCTCACCATCTTTGCACTTTGTTATGATGGGCTCAGATTCTTTCCCATGTTAGAGAAAACCTTCAAAACAGAAAAACAAATAGATACAAAGCAGTACAGCGAGTATGCACATCACAAGTTATGTAAGGAAATTTTACGAGCAAAACAATAAGACACTTAAAATTCAGATGTTAATTAATGACTAAAATTTGGAATAATGACCAAAAACTGAAATCTTTTGATCTAAATCTAGTGCAACTGAAGAAAGCTGAAGGACTACAAATTTCTTCTCTGTCTTTGCTATGATACCTCGGTGAACAAAACAGAAAAACCAATTCAACTGACAGAGGGTCACAGCTGAGGCAAGCAAAGAAGTGGCCTCATCATAATTTTTAGGTGGAAATGGAATAATCAGAAAAACTGAATTCAATCAATCGGCAACAGGAACATAAATCATAAAAGTAACAAGTGAGCTAAATCAGAGTGAATGTTAAAATTCTATATGAGCATGTCACAAAGAAGAAAGAAATCACACATCCTGAACTCATCATTAGAGCCCAGAGGAACTGTATATTAGATGCCAGAAATCAAGAAGCCAATTATTGAACCAAGATCTTCATAAAACCCTCAATACAAATAAGCACAAACCACAATTGAATCACCCTGAAATAGACAACTTTTGGCAAATGGCAGAGGGTAACCTCAAGAAACCCTAACCAGGAATTGACAATTGGTTGCACAATTCAAGAAGCAAGTATCTAAACCCATTTCTAAATTCAAGAACAATGATTAGGAATCACCTTCACAATTACAAAACCCTGCCCAAGAATTTAGAATCAAGACCAAAAATCAACAAAAAAAAACCAATTCAAACTATGGAACCCTGACTCATTATAGCCCATAAACACAAAAATCTCATGCAACCCTGATCGAAAATTTGAGACCAAACTTCAAGAAAACTCAGAAATCAAGAACCAAAATCTCTATACCTGCTTGTACTTCTTCTGCCGCTTCCCATCTACGGTCTCGATCACAAACTCCGCGGAGAAAATATTCGTAAGCTTCGCCCCATAGCCATTCCTCCCACCGCTGGTCTTCTTCTCCGAATCATTGTAGTTACTACTTGTCAACAAGTGCCCAAAAATCAATTCCGGCACATATACCTTCTCTTCTTGATGAATCTCCACCGGAACCCCATCACCATTATTATAAACACTTGTAAAATTCTGCTCAACGTCGATCACAACCTTCATGGAGTCCATTGATGTGTCTCTCTGCTTGTTATCGGCCGCATTGACAAGGATTTCGTCGAAGATCTTGTAGAGGCCAGGCACGTATGAAATTGGGCGATGGACCATTTCATTGTTCTCATAGACCCAAAGGGATTGTGAGTGTTTTTCAATGGAGCCAATGTAGGTGTCGGGTCGGAGAAGGATGTGCTCGAGCTGGGTTTTTTTCTGGTAGGTTTCTTCGATGGTTTTTCCGGTGGTGGAGATATTGGCGTTGTTGCTGGTTTGCAACGGGAAGTTTCTTGTCAATGGTCATCGTGGGTTGACAGAGAGAGAGAGAGAGAAACACAGAGATAGTGTATGTAGATTCTAGAGAGAGAGAGAGCCCGCGTAAAGTGTTCAATGGGCGGGATAGAGCTGGGGAGTGAAGGGTTGTGTGTATAAGGGCGGGAAAGGCGGTGAGGGTTAACGGTCGAGTTGGGTTTTCGGAGTTTGAATTTGAATTTTGACCGGTGTTTGCAATGTAGAGAGAGGATTGGGGGCGTGGAGGGATCGACGGTGGTGATTTGTTGTTGGTCAGGTGGGTGGAGGAGGTAGAACGTGGGTTTGGGAGTAAATATTCGATTTAATAGATACCCGAAGGCACGTAATATAAATTAATTAATTAATTTTGAAAAAAAAAATTAATTTGCTTTAATTAAAAAATTTGAAATCCATATAGTCTCCAAATATTTTTTGGGGAAAATTTTCGAAACTAAGAGTTTAGGTAAATCTCAATTTGTCTATAAAATTTAAAGTCTCTTGAATGCACAATACAATTAAACCTAAAATTCACAGTTCATAATTATACATTATAATAATCATAGTTCATGATCAAAATTCTC